ACCAAGTACAGAAGCTTCCCAAAATGGGAGGGGAGGGTAGAATAGAGCTTCACTGAACCCGGAAGATGCAGTCTCTCCCACTAGCTCACACAGGGGCCCCAAAGGGACAAGAGTAGCACAGCAGCCAAGAATAACCAGAGCCGGGTGTGGTGGCACATGCCTGTAATCCTAGCACTTAGGAGGCTGAGGCAGGAGGATCGCCAGGAGTTCAAGGCCAACCTGGGCTGCATTTCGAGATCCTGTCTCAAAAAGCCAAAAAAAAAGAATAACCAGACTGTGGGACTTTACCCAGGGTTAGCCTTGAGTGCCCCTAACATCGGTGCAGCCACCTTGGCAGAGGAGGGAAGGGCCCTGTGGGTTACCAGTCCAGCCTCTGGGCGTGGGCTGGCTGGCCCTCATCTTACCAGCCACGTGACCTTGGGAACATCCTCTAGCCAGCTTACACTGCCTCTGCAAAGTGGGCACAACCCTAGTAACGGCCTTGTCAAGGCAGATCCACAGGCGGTGCCAGGCCCGGAGCTGGTACCGGCAGGGGGCGCCCTTGCGCCTGTCGGCGGCTGCTCTGGCCTCCTCCACTGGGTCTTCACTCCTCCTCCCCAGGGCGGGCGCATGCGTGCTCTGCTTGGTCTCTAGGCTGAGGGATCAGAACCTGGACGCTAAGCCCGGGCAGCAGCGGCTCCGGGAAGCGTGAAGGCCTCACGCCGTTGTGATGCGCTCTTCCTTGCAGGTTAGCAAGGGACTCCCCCGTCCCAGTGTCCACCGCAGTCCCTGTCGCTGAGAGGCTACAGGAACCCACAGCACAAGTTTTAGCAAAACTCAGCCTCTGCTGAGCTCACAAGTGCAATGGGACTCTGCAAGCTGACAGACTTTCAAAAAAAGAGTTAGGGGGCTGGGGATTTAGCTCAGTGGTTCCGGCGCCTGCCTCGCAAGCAAGCGCAAGGACCCGAGTTCGATCCCCGGTACCAAAAAAAAGGAGTTAGGGCCGGGGATGCAGCTCAGTGGCACCGCGCCTGCCTCGCAAGGACAAGGTCCTGAGTTCACTCCTCGGTACCGGAAAAAAAAAATGAGTTAGGAAAAGCAAAGTCCAAAACTACCTATAAGTTACAACTGTGCTTTAACTTTGTGTGTGTGTGTGTGTGTGTGTGTGTGTGTGTGTGTGATCCTAGGGGTGGAATTCAGGGCCTCACGCATGCTAGGCAGGTGTTCTACCACTGAACTACAGCACTAGCCCTTTCTATTTTTGATTTGAGACAGGGTCTCACAAGGTTGCCCAGTCTAGCTTCAAACTTGTGATCCTCCTGCCTCAGCCTCCAGAGTAGCTGGGATTACAGGCATGTGCCACTATGCTCGGAATATTTTAGAGACAATGATTTTTTTTTTTGGTACCAGGGATGGAACTTGGGACCTTGTGCTTTCGAGGCAGGCAGCAGAACCACTGAGCTAAATCCCTGGCCCCAGAATATTTTAAATATTTAAAAGTATTTTAGTAATTAAAGGGTATATCACACATGTGTGCTCATGCTACATATGCATGTAAGCACATATACACATATTGCATATGCTCATTCATGCAAACACATAAGTCCTATAGAATTATGAAAACTATGACGACTTCCTAAAGAATGTTACTTAATTCAATTCACCCTCCTTCCTGTTTAATGATAGGTACTATAGTATGAGTGTGTACTACACCTGCATTTTCATATATATGAAAAAATTTAGGACGGGGAGTGATGGCACATGCCTGTCATATATGGAACTCTGGCAGGCTGGAGCAGGAAGATTGCAAGTTCATGTTTAGCTTCGGTAATTTATTGAGAGCCTGTCCAAAACAGGGGGAAAAAAAACTTTTTAAAGGCTGGGGATGTAGCTCAGTGCAAAGGCATTGAGTTCAATCCCCAGTTCCATCAAAAAAAACCCCCACTGCCAATATGCACGCCCTAGAAATGAGGGAAGCGAGGGGCTGGGACCTGTGTGCCCAACACTGAGGAGTGCTCAGATATAGAAGGCGGCAGGGGGCCTGGGCCCCTCAGGCTCTAACCAACAGCTGAAGAAAGACACTTCAAGGCTTCCACGGCAGAATGTGCACAGGAAACAAATTTAGGAAATCCTGCTTTCAGTTACAGGAAATAAATCCTACACCAACTGGTGGAAATTACGCCAGCAGCTCCACAGTCAGACGAATACTGATTTCTCTGGGAGCTGCATGAACTGACCTTGCCACGCCTGGAAATGTCTTAATGATACTGAATTTCAAAGGTCCATGCTAAGGCCGGCCACGCCAACTGGAAACCTTCAGGGATCGGGAAACAGCGGGGCTCTGAAAGACTTCACCTAAACTCCAGCCAGCCTTCTGTGTCACGTGATGGTTTTATATAAACATTCTGGTATTTTGCAGTACGAATCCTCTGACTGTTTAGAAAGCGTTTCGGTAATAATATTAACAGCAGTTATACCTTTAGTGGGATTAGGGTTTACTTTTTTCTTTTCTTACCTATAGCTTCACGTGTTTTACTACAGACATGCAATAACTACAATAAAAAATAATAGTTCTAAAATACACACACATATATGAACCAATAAGGCAACAGTGGCCTCTAGGAAGACATCAAAAGCCAAGGGAAAATACCTCTTTTTTTGTTTTTTCAATCATGACTAAGAACTTAGAAAAACAAGAGAAATCTGCATCCAAGCACAATTAATGGACAAGAGAGATAAAGCCCTATTCTCTCTGGAAAAAAGAAGCCAAGAAGCACAAAGCATTCCATGATAGAATTACCCTCCTGGGAACATCTGCACAGCCTTAAAGCAAACACACAAAAGGTCGGAGGGAAGAGTGGAGTGGGGAAAGGACGGCATTGAGGACCCACACCCCAACACTAGACCTGGCTGCAGTTCGAATCCTGCCAAGTACTCGTGCTCCCCCCCCCACCGCCCGCAACTACCAAGACAAGCGGACTTTCTCTCATCTGAAACGCCATGGTCCCCAGCTCCTGTTCCCAAGGGGAAAGACAAGCCCCAGCAGACCAATCTGGATGGTCCACAGAAGAGGCAATCATGAGGGGTTCCAGTGGCTCAAGTCTAAGCAGATCAGCAGCATCACAGAGCTCCCTCTGGGCCTGCTCTCCCGGCACAGCTCCCAGCTCAGCAGTGTTCTCCACGCCCACAAAGCGTGGCTCCAACACCAATGGGCATGGACGCCCTGGGCTTTACGGCTTCAGTGGCCTAGCAAATACCATGCAGACTGCAAGGAGGAGTCTCCCAGGGGACAAATTCTGCTGCCCACAAAACAAAGAAGCGACAAGACAGGCCGGGCAGGAGGTGTCATGGTGCCCTACATCTGCAAACCCTGGAGAGGACTCGTGGCCCTGCCCGCTGCATCTGCACCACAGGCTCCTAGACACCTGAGAGTCAGCCCAGGCCTTTGAAGCCTTCACTCACACAGAGCTGCACCTCCTTCCCAAAGCGAGCACAGACACCAGGATCCCACTCACGCAGGCAGACAGTACAAGTTTTTTCTTAAATTCTGGAAATACTCTGGTAATTGGTGTCACAAGCTTTAAAAACGCTCCATTCAATTGGACCTAGGATTTAATGCTGCCCACTGAGGGCCTCACGACAGCCTGTGCTGAACCCCTGGCGCCAGGGGTCAAAAGGCAGGAGGGATAAGGAGCCACCGGAGGCTGCTGGGATCCTAAACAGGCTCCATACTAAAAGCACTGAAGAAAAAGAGAAAAGTAGCCAGGTAAAATGGTGCACACCTGTAATCCCAGTGCTCTGGGAGGCTGAGGCAGAAGATGGCAAGTTTGAGCCCAGCCTGGGCATCTTTCAGACTTCGTGAGAAATAAAAAAGGGCTGGCAATGCAGCTCAGTGCAAAGGCCCTGAGTTCAGTCTCCAGTACTGGGAAGGAAGGGAAGAGAGAGGAAGTGTCAGGGGGGAAACAGGCCTACTACGCAGGGAGCTGGTGCCATGCAAGCAAGACCCACCGACATCAGGCGTTGAAGCCCAGCCTACAAAGCCCAGAGTCTACGACACAGGAGACGCCAGACATACCAGCTGAGGGACAGCCGACCACATGACTGGCTTGTGTTCTTCCAAGTTTCAAGGTTATGAAAGTCAAGAAAAGCTGGAAACTGTTGTGGGTTTGAGAGACTCAAGAGACAAAATGAATGCATGCTGGATTCAGGGTTGGCTCCTGACCTGGGAAAATAGTTCTCTCCTTTTTACTGTGTCACACAGCAGGACAGTGGATGTAATCAGCACAAGATCTACAGGTCAGGCAATCATACTGTCTCAACGTTAATGTTCTGGTTCTGACGAACGCCTTTGTTTTTTAGGGGAGAGAGTAAGATGTTTAAGGGTAAAAGAGGAATGCAGGAGAGAAAAGAAGAAAGCACATGTGGAAAAATGCTCACATTTGGGGAATCTGAGTGAAGCTTCAGGAAAAGGGAATTCTTTGTAGTAATATTACAACTTTTCTAAGTCTGAAATTATTTCAGAATTTAAAAGTTTAAAGAAAGAAACTCCACATGACTTCATGACAAATATTTGACCTCTCCGCCCTCCTCTTTGTTTCCTCTTGTGTCTCTGTTGTTCTTGTTGGTCAGTCTTTTTTGTATCGGTTACGCAAATTAACAGGTTTCCTTTGGGCCAATTCGTATATACGCCCTTGTCTTTCCTTTGTGGAAAATGGGGACAACAACCCTGCCCAGAAGATTAAATGAGACAGCCCCTGAAAGCACGTTGGTCGACAAACCTCAAGGAGTGAGCCTTTGTGAGGCTGCAGCTGATTCATTTTCCTCTGTGTATCTTTCCAAAGCCCCCTGGTCTTCTACACTAAGAGCTGATTCTATAATCAGAATCAAGGTTTTCTGGGAAGGAGGAGAGAAACCTGGAAGGGAAAAGCCCAAAATGACAAGTGAAACACAGACCTGTGTCTGAGTTAGAAGTCTGGGGTCAAAGGACAGGATGGCGCTTTTGTGCGCTGCCCTGGAATTACCTCGTCTGGGCTCGACGCCTGGTACACGCGACAGGAGTCCTCGTACTGCTTCTCGGCCTCGGCCTGGTCCGTCACACTGTTGGACTCGTACACGGGAGTCACATTGTGGCACAGCGCGATGGCCTTCACGGCTTCGTGCACGCGGCTGCTCATGGTCCGCCGGACCTTGGTGGTAACCGTGGGTCCCTTCTGAGCTGGGGGCTCCTGGGACTGCTACAGAGAGGAGAAGCGAGTAAGGACAATGTGCAAAGAAAGGAAGGCTCATGACGCAGGGCCAGAGAGCCACGTGGAGCTCCTGCTTTCCTTTCCCCTGCCCCACACCGGACTGCTGGGCCGGGCCGTGATGCTGCAGGACCTGACGTGGTGTGTCACTTTTAGGGTTCAATCCTCTATACTTAGAAGGGAAAATAAAGAGTGAAGAAATACAGTTGGATGGATGAGATGGGTGAGGGTGATTCTGCCCACGGACAGCGTGAGTCTGCTCTCCTGCGGGTGGGGACTGAGGTGTCACAGTGCAGACCCTATGGGACCCTGATTTCAGCACTGGGCTTCTCCACCTGGCACTGCTGCCGTCCAGGGCGGGTGGTTCGATGCTGTGGGCACCCTGTGCCGTGCAGAATGTCCAGCAGAATGTCCCACCTTGGAGAAGAGACCAAACGATCTTCAGACATTGCCACGTCCCCAGGGACCAAAATCACCCTCAGTGTATAACTGGTTTCAAATGCACCTTCTTCTTGATAAAAACAGGACGCAAGGGCTTCAACTGGTGCTCTTTGCAGAAACAACCATCAGTACTGCAGCCCAGGGCAGGCCCAGTGAGCCTGTTACGGCTGAGGTCTGCAATGTCCTCCCAGAGCCTCATCGAGCTGCAGGCTTGGTTGCCAGCTGATGGGATCTGAGGAACTGAATGGGTCACGAGGGCCCTGACCTCATTCACGCTCATGTGCATTAATCCACTGTTGAGTTCACAGTACAATAGCTATTAGGAGTCGGGGCCTACGGGGATGACAGTAGTAGCTGGGGGTTGGCTTTGGAGGGTATATCCTGGCCTCACCCCTTCCTCTCTGGCTCTGTCCCTCTCACTGCTTCCTTACTGCCATGTGGTGAGCAGCTTCTTCCCCCATGCCCTGCCAACATGATGTCTCTGTCTCTCCCCAGACCCACAGCAGGGGCACCAACCTACTATGAACTGCAACTTCTGAAGCCATGAGCCAAACAAAAAACAAAAACAAAAAACTTTCCTCCTTTAAGTTGTATAAATCAGGTAATTTGGTCCCAGCAGCATAAAGCTGACAACTCAGGCACAGCAGTAGCAACCAGAGAAACCTTAGCAGAAAGGACTTAGTGCAAAACGGTACCTAGCATTCCACCTAGCACAGACTTTCAAGAGTCACTTTAACTGTGCTTGACTTTTTCCTTCCTCAGACTTCAGACCTAGCCTGTGCTTGAGGGGCAGCCCCAGGGGGCTCTCGAGGCCTCCCCATCCCTTCCTCCCAACCTCTCAGCATGCAGCTTAGCCTCCGAAGGGCCAGCAATGGGCCATATCTTAGGGAAACGGTTCCAGCAACATGGTAACAAAGCATGGAAGGCTAGAAAACCTGAGTCTTATTCTTGGGTGGGTTGTAAACTGCCTGCTTTCCAAGCCTCAGTTTCCTCAAATTGGGAGGCGTGGGCTCCACAGAGTCCTCTGATTCCAGAGAAGGCTGCTTAACACCAACCACCAAGTATGCAGGGGGGGGAGAGCAGCCACCAGCAGCCCCATCTAACCCTCGGCCTGCTCTGGAAAGAAGAGCTCCGCTGTGTTGGGGTATAACATACAATCATGGAGCCGGGTGTGCACAGCAGCACAGTGCATGCTTTGCCTGCACAAGGTCCTGGGCTGAATCTCCAGCACCAAAAAAATAATTTTTGAAAGGACACTGCTGCAAAAAAGAATCCTACTTGTTAACAAGTAGTTTTGAACACCGAGTCTATGGCTCAAAATCCAGATGCCCTCCCCAGCACACAGCCCGCCTGCTTGTCCCCTGCTCACCCCACCAGCTCCCCACCCACAATGCCAACCTCCTCCTCTCTCGTTCTGTCTAGTCATACTAGCCTTCCTGTGCTCTGAACACTGTAAGCTCCTTCTTGCCTCAGGGCCTTTGCACTTGCCATGTCCTCTGCCTGGAACCCCACCACCCAGACCTCTGCAGGACTGGCTTGTCAGTCTCATCATTCAGGTCTCAATTCCAATTTTTTTCTCTAGGAGGCCTTCCCTGGGCCCCCAATCCATGCTGCCCCATCTGACCTCCCCAGTGAAAGTATGCTCGTTCGATACTCTGTGTGTTACTGTCCTTTGGCCTGGTCACCTGATGATTCTCTCTGCCATCATACTGTGGGAACAGACAGCTCATCTGTGCGAGTTACTCATCAGCACCCCTAGCACCCGGGTGGTGGGGCCTGGCACGAAACAAGCACTTGCTGAAAGAATGAACAAATGCATAATTTAGTATTCCTAGGGAGGTGATGGGTTCTCATTGACAGGAATTTCTTTTTTCCATTTCCAAAAAGAAAAAAATATTACACTGACCAAACTCAGTTCCAGACTTTAAATCACAGTTGATGGACAAAGGATTGCCAGCAACAGTTTGAATTCTGGAAACTAGAAACATTTGTGGAGTTACTGGATTCTACATTCCATTAAAAACATATTTATCCAACAGAACAGAAGTGAGGTGATCACTTCAGAAGCATTGCATTTCATACCCTGACACACGGCTGCCCCAAATAGAGAACAGATGGGTTGCAAGAAACAAGAAAATGACTTTCATTTAATTTTTTAATACTATTTTTAGTAGTAGCATTAGACTCCTCGGGTAATTAGACAATTACTAAATTATTCTGGTCACCGTGGGGACACACAGTGCTCTGGCTTCCTGCTCTGTTAACCTCTGGTGTCAGGAGCACACGAGTTTCACTTCCAGGCCAAAGGGCACTGCATGGTAACAATAATTAGAGTAATGAATCAGAACTCTGGTTTAAATCCATCATTATTTGCCAAGTGCTTTTAATTATAAATAATTTAACTTTAAAATTATAAAGAGGACTGAAGATTTACAGAAAAGCTCCCCCTACTGGAGACACTACATCAAGCGCTTTCCCATTCTTGTAGTTTATGTTCCGCGTTAAGTGTGTTACGAAGCCAACGACACGTGTCTTCATTTTTGCCCACATTCTTCAGCACCTGAACCAAATCATTATTTAAGATCAGGGGCAACAGCAAGACCTCTGACAGAGTAATTTCTGCAGCTGCCGTGTTTCAGTAACAGTGGCTGGAATGAGAGGCTCAACTGAGGGCATCCATCGCAAATTTCTGGGTTTTGCAAACCAATCTGATTTCACGTGTGCAGAAGCCAGAAGCTTCCACTAATATTTCCAGCGGTGACTGACACAGTTTGGGGTTTTGTACTCCAGGTAAATCAACTCCACGGCAAGGCAACACCCAGAAGCACGGACAGTCAGATTTCTGCGAAGACCTCACATTTAAGTTAGGGAACCACTTGACAGTGAATCTGAAGGCAAGGATGACAGCCTCATCCAACATGGCCAGCAACAGGTTTAATGTTGCCAAATTCATTTATTTCTCCTTAAAGAAATTAATTAATGTTTGCCTTGATTTCTACTAAGATATTTCAGGGAAGGAGGAAATAACTATAGGGATACTGAGACCATTTGTTTTTTTCTTCCTTTCTCTGTAGTACTTCGGATTGAATTCAGTGCCTTCACATCAAGCTACATCGCCAGCCCTTTGATTTTTTATTGTAAGACAGAGTCTAAGTTACTATGCTGCCAGGCTGAGATCAAAGTTGTGGTCCTCCTGCCTCAGCCTCCTGAGTGCTAGGACTGCAGGTGAGCACCACCATGCTCCGGTCTTGAAACCAACTCTTTAATTTTCAAATGAAAGCTCCTTCACACATCAAGGGGGGTCCGCGTGTATCACGGGTCCGAGGTTGACCAGACTCTCAGGGATGCAGCTCAGTAATGGACATTCTCCCCATAGCCCCACGCCCCATATGGAAGAGTTTCACATCGTACAGTGTTTATCTCTAATCTCCTCCACAGGCCCTTTAACCTACACACATTTCTTCTTACTTAAAAAATACCAGGGGAAAACAAAAACAGATGTGCTATGCACAGAGGCAGGTTATGACTCTGTGCCCTGGGGAAAACTCACTGCTCCTCCCAGGGAATGCTGGGAGCGGAGAGCACCACGTGAGGGTGGAGGTGAGGGCAGCACCAGACAACAATGGGCTGGGGTGGAGACGAAGCTCTGGTGCACAGGTGCACGGACTGCGCCTCTGGTGGGCATTCTGCACCATACGAGGCTGTAGTCAATCACAGACCATAGCAGCCTACAAATGGGACAGTGACACACAAGGAAAACTGAGCTTCGGTGCAGTCATGACCCGTGGCAGGGCCATTTCTCAACAAGAACGCCAGACTAGATTACAGGAAAGATTAATACAAAAATGAAATGTTGCATCACCATGAATCAATTTTCTTCCTAAATGCAGTTAAAATGTCACCCCGTGTGGACATGGGGTCTAGGAAAGGGCTGTAATCAGCAGAGATGTGTATTGAAGACAAGGAGTTCCTCTAAAGCAGCCCTGCCCGAATCTCCCCCGCCCAAAGCTCAGAGCTGATGGCTCATTAACTTCAAAGGGCCACCAACCAGAGCGGGGCTCTTAGCTGGCTTCCAAATGAGTCAGCGGAGCTATGGGCTGATTAAGTGGCTGAGCCTCGGTGTTTACTATTTCACAGTAGACACCAGGGAGCAGGACAATCCACACATCTCAGGTCCCCCACACACCCCAGAGGCGTGGTCTGGTGGGCTCTGAAGATATCTTTGGTCAGAAGGACTGAGAAGATGTGGAGTGCACAGGCGTCCACATGGCAGAGGGCTGGGAAGGGGATGAGCAGCCTGCTCGGCCCGGAACAGATCCCTACAGCAAAGACAGCTCCGGCCCCAGTAAGCTGGCGCTGAGGAGCCTTCCAGAAACCAACTGACCTGCAAATCCAGGCCCGGAAGTGGGCGCACAGGTGATAATGCAGCATGGGATTCTATCTCGACTTAAAATCTCAGTATGTTGTTCCTCATGGATTTTTGGCTTTTTGACATGGGAGTTTTTTGGGGATTTTTTTTGGTACCAGTGATCGAACTTGGGACCTTGTGC